TCTTATCGCTCTTTTTTGTAATATATACAATGGTTGAAGTGAGCTTTTGTATGTGTTTCCCCAGTTTTCAACACCATACTCTGTAAAATCAATGAAGAATACAAAATGCGTAGTGCTTTCCCGTCCAAAATATATCTCACCCTTTCCAATATCGATATATTCTTTGCTATTAATATCAGATATATATCAGATATCAGCAGATAACAACAAATACCTCCTGTGTTTAAATATTTCTTGTCCTTCCTTCTGTGTTCACAGGGACCGGTCGGCCCACGGGGAGAAGACGGACCACCGGGGCCCATGGGTCTGCCCGGCCCTCAAGGACCCAGCGGGCTGTCAATTTCAGGAGAGGCTGTAAGTCTCCTAACGCTCCCACTGTGAGCCACAGCCAACACACCTTTAGCAACTACACATAAATCCATGAGCAGGGATTTATTATGAAGGGAATTTACAGGCTGGGGAGGATCTGTGGCAGAGACGCACATTCCTTCATGTCTGAGACAAAGAGCTGGAACCTCAGTATCACTGAATGTTAGTAAATCAGTTTGGATGAGATTAAACAGAAATGTTCCAGGTTTTGTCTCCACTGAGGACGAACTGCCTGAATCTTTGTATTGTTGTAACATAGACGTGAATATTTTTGACCCTTTGTTCTTAATGTGTGGAGGATTTTTGTCTGTCCCCAGCAGAAATCACGTACGACATATGAGACTTTAAATGCACAATAACCGTCTCAGGAGGACGTAGTCGCATCCTGTTCTTAAACTACTAAAGCCTCACTGTACTCTACTAGATGTAGATGCATCGAAAAACTGTATTATCATGAAAAGGATTTGAGTCCTGTAGCTGTGGTGATTATTTTCTCCATTGACTGACAGTAGTGTGAAACGCTGTCACAATGGTAATTCACGGTAGGTGTGACCAGTGTTTAAGTGTCCACACGTCTTTTCATTAGTGATTAAAGTTATCAATGGGACAGACACTTTGATCTGCACAGCGGATGTTGTTCATTCTGGGATATCCAGAGTAATCCCACATCGCTGACTTTAACTGCCTTTTCAGGGGGTGGAGATTGTTGATATCAGCCTCCTCTCTGCCATTTGTCCGCTGCATGTGTGCGTGGCACTCTGCAGAGTCTGATGGGCAGATGGGAAGGAAAGGAGATGTGCACGTGTTGCATTTTTCTTCAATATCAGTCTTGTGTCAAAATCTGTCAGGATGTTTCCCCTAACCTGAACCTAAGCATAACTGCCGAGGGGGACACTACTGGAAACGGTTTTAACGGGGAAACAAATTTGGACAACGACTGGTAATAAGCTAATGTTCACGGTACGATAACAATCCATTTGTACACCACTGCATACTGCTGTAACCCTGTAGATTAGAAGATGAAACTTGGTTTATCTTTATCTTGGACAAGGCGCCGGTAGAACATCAGACTGAGCTGCTCATGCCTGTCACAGCGTTCATACACTGTGTCCTTGTTTTCTACCCTCAGGGCCGCCCTGGACCAAAGGGAGACCCCGGTGACTCAGGCTTACCTGGACAGAAAGTAAGTGCAGCGGAAGCTTTTTAAAAAAAATAGGGTTTTGGATCCTAAACAGGAAACAGAGATAATTCACAGTTTGACTGGTGTCGGGCCACACAGACATTTTCCAGCTGGGAGGGTTCAGACAGTAAAGAGGGAGGACGACTCAGCGGCAGCCTTCTGAGTATTACTTTGAAATTAAACTTGTAGAAAGGAGCCAAGAACATTGCACCTTGATTAACGGTGCTGCTGAAGTGTTGGCCCACAGTCAGCAGCTACATCCTTTTCTTAATCTAAACTGTTTTATCTTGGATAGACCAAGTGTGATGACACAAAGCCAATGTTGGCGTGAAGGTAAAGAACAGGGTCAGTGAAGAAGCTTGATTCAGCCTAAGGCCCTGAACAGGATCTGTCTGCCTTTGTGACAGGTACAGTAATGAATATCAGGTAGTGTTGATTTCTCCAGGGAAAAGGTTGGTGAGAGTGGAAGTCGAAGCTTTTCTCTTGTACCAGTGGTTTATTCCTGAATACTAAGGCATCACTCAGAGAAGCTGGTCAGGGAAAACATGTTAAGACTTTTTCTTATAGACAGAAATACTGAAGGTTTCCTAGAACACAAAGTGATTAAAGTGAGAATGTCATCTTTAAAGAAAGGTGAATAAAACTGACTGGCTGGTCTCCAGCAGAGGTTAAAGGTCAGACTGCAGCTGAGCTCATCCCTAAATGCAGTTTCCTCCAGTGATTCCTCTTTGGACATCGGGCTCCTTTAAATCGCTCCTGTGTCAACCCATGGAGGTTTTCGTGACAGAATCCCTTCGTTTGGTTTGCCTCCGGAATATATGTGATGTTACAAATCGTGTTTGTACATTCACACCTCAACGTTTTCATTTGAGCTCAAAGAAACTGGCACACACACACATTGTTGTGACCAGGAAACGGGACACAGTCAAATATCAAAACATATTTTTGACTGAAACAGAAGAAACTGGCCAGGTACGATTCAGGAGCCACCTCGTCTTATTTCAGTTTAACATTAATAACTGAAAAACAGAAATTAGTGAGCCTGTGGTGATCGTGCTGGAAAATTACTAAACAGTCATCAAAATAGTTGCCAATGAATGTTGAGCAGTCTAGTTGATTAACTGACTAATCCTCGAAGCTTCGTGACAGTTAATCGGGATCAAACCTGTGACACAGCATTCATCAGGCCCTGCTCCTCCTTGTCCTCATGCAGCAGTGTGAGTCGCACATATTAATCAGCTTCTCCTTTAAATCAAACGTGGAGTCTGCCTCCATGTGTTGGAGCAGGCAGGCTGCAGGTGACCGTGTTGGAGCAGATACTATAGCAGCATCCATTTAATGACTTGCAGACCATGTGGGCTCTGCTTTTTAAAGGCCAATAAAATGGATCTGGGATATATTATAGTCCCTGTAAATCTCAGGCCAAGGCATCAAAGAGGATTCATAATAAAAATAGGGAGCAGGGTTTCTGAGCAAATTAGTGCTGAAATGGAGATTTACTGTCTGACACGCAGAAGTCCGGCACTGAAACAGAAAAGTGGGGAACAGGAGGTCACGTGTTGGATCTGAGCTGTTTTCCTATGTTTGCAGGGTTTACCTGGTCCTCCCGGTAACGTTGGCCCGATCGGACCAGCTGGAGTGAGGGTGAGCACACACACGGCCGCGCTCTCCGAAGCCTTTACACATGATCATGAACAATTCAGTATTTTAAGCCCTGCTCTTTTCATTCCAGGGCCCTCAAGGAAAGGATGGACCGGCTGGACCCAGAGGCCCCGCAGGCCCCATGGTGAGACCTCATGGTTTGATTCTTGTGCCCTGGGAGCTGCTGACTGCACTGTCGGCAGCTCAGTCGACAAAAAGGACTCCTTAAATTTCTCCACCCATATTTAAGAAGCTGATGTTGAACTCAAACTTTATCACAACACTCATTAACTAAACTTTTCCAAGATTAATTTGGGGAATATTTCCATAAGAAGCTTTTTAGAGGTTACTGTGATAATTACATCCAAACTTGCTTTCTCCTGAGCTGCTGCTGCTGTTTTCTGATCTTTCATGTTTCTCTCCGTTTCCTTGCAGGGACCTCCAGGATCTCCTGGAATAGCAGGTCCTGCAGGAAAACCTGGAAATCCTGGAAACTCTGGTCCTCCTGTGAGTTTCCTCACTGTCGTGGCAGCTTTGTACATACAGCCACAGCATCTGAGTTTAACTGATTTTTGTTTCTGGTTTTAGGGTGGTGTCGGTCCCAAAGGAGACAAGGGGGAGAGAGTGAGTAAACCAGATTTGTTTTTTTATGTTTTGAACATTTTAGAAACTTCACATGACAAGTTTGAGAAGAGGGAGAAATTATGTGAAGAACTAAGCAACTGGAAAAATCCTTTAGTTAAACAAACAAACAAAAAAGCTTTCCAATTGTTCCTCTTGTAGTTTCCTTACAGAACTCTTCGTCAAACGAGTCTTGAGGTCTTGAAACAAGACTCATGTGCAGATTGTGAGCATTTAATTTAAGAAATTATGATTGTGGGACTCTGTGTTGAGCTAAACAAGTGGTTGGGACAGTGTTTTCTTGGTGGATTTGAAGGTTTCGCAGCGTAAAACTGCAGAACTTTTAAAGAAAAGGAGTCTCAGCAACTCAACTTGGGTCAAATACAGCTGCTTAGACCATTGGGATAGATGTTTGACACAATGTTGGAGCTGGTAACTACATCAGATAAGGGCAAACCTGTGATTTTTCACACAAGTACACATGGGAAATGTAGTTCACAACTCAAGTTCCATTGGTCTAAATACAGATCCATAAATGTAATTTACTGTAAAACCTGAGGACAGATTAGCAGAGAATCAAACGGCACCACAGAGCTAATCAAAACAAGAAGAGCTGCAGCACGCTCTCATTTTAAGTGAAAAGCGGTTTTAATACAGCTTAGGCAGCACGTTCAAGAGACACCTGGTAAAACATCATTCATGTGTATTTGTATTAAGCCGTTCGTCCTTGTCCCCAGGGCGACTTTGCTCCTCAGAACATGATGCGATCCATCGCCAGACAAGTTTGTGAACAGCTAGTAAACTGTAAGTGGACCCCAAGTCCCTCTGGTCTTTCAGGATCCAGTGAGTCCACCACCTGCTGTCTGGCTTATTCTAACATTTCTAACTTTTCTCCTCTGCTGTTGCAGCCCAAATGAGTCGTGTCAGCTCGTTACTGAACCAGATCCCCAATGGCATGTCTCGCAACAATAACCCAGGGCCCCCGGGGCCTCCCGGAACACCCGGCAATCAGGGACCCCGCGGAGAACCGGGCTCCACAGGAAGGAATGGTTTCCCTGGAAGTCCAGGTTCACCCGGCCCACAGGGGGAGAGAGGTAGGACCCTATCAGTCTGTAGCAGGAGGAGGGGAGGGTGTGCACAGCATCAGCAGCAGTTTCTAAAAATGGGAACACAAAAGGCAACACAGTGATGATTTACACTGCTAGGTTTATTTAACGAGCACAAAACCATTACAAGATGCTAATGAGGCCTGGCTTGATCAGAAATGTCTGGTTTTCACTGTGGACTGAGTAACATGATGCCGTCTACTCGCTGTTAGGGATCTGCTCAAGTCTGAACTGATTCTGTCTCATTACTTAAACAAAGGCTGGACAAAAATGCACAAGATGGAGACAATAAAGCTCCATGTAACACAGTTAAGACAGAGTGCTCCAAAGCCACTGAAAGGAAAGATGGACCAGGACTCACGGCAGTTTACTTAACTAAATGGAGCAACATAAAGCACATTCTCCCAAAGAACCAGCTGGATGCACTTAGTGTTGCTAGAAAAGTCCCTGACGTTAAATCCTACATTTGTCCTGTACTTCATTTGATCATACCTACAGGAATGTTGTGACCAATGACCCCTGCCTGTCTCCTCCAGGTCCAGCAGGACAGAAAGGTGACCGAGGACCATCAGGAGTGGGAGCCAAAGGACCACAAGGGCCTCCAGGTATGTCACAGTGATCCTCAGGTCACAGGTCCTAGTGTTAACGCCAGTCACTTAGAAACAATATACTTTTTTTTTTTAAGTTAAAAACTTATTCTCCCCCCCCAGCTTGTGACATTACATTTGCAAGTCTGAAAATGAACCTCTATGTTAGAAAACCAAGCTTGCTGATAGCACAGTGGTTAGTGCTGTTGCCTCAGAGCAATAAGGCTCCAGGTTCAAGACCTGGCTGACCCAGGCCTGTCTGTACAGTGTGTATGGATTAAGATACAAATCTGTGTTTACAGGTGACCTTGATAATAACGTTATATATTCTATCCAGTTAGTGATTATTCACATTTTTAACATCAGTCTAATCCACCAGTCCTGCAGTGAACCCTCCTTCATGAAGGTGGTGATGTTCAATCTCTTCACGGAGTTGATCATTGTGGAGGCCGTGGTTTGTGCTGCTGTTGTAATGTTTTATACTGACAAGTGTTTCTATTATTTTGTCCAACCAAGGATAAATAACAAACCCCTGTAAAACACTGAACAGCAGCACCAACTGCTGCCTCCACAGGGATCCCAACAGACTGAACATCGCCACCTTCATGGAGGAGGGTTCACTGGTAGACCAGACTGACAACAGAGTACAGTGGCAAGAAAATGGATGTAAACCTTCTAGAATTTCATGGTTTTCTGCATTAATTTGTCATGAAATGTGATCTGATCTTCATCTAAGTCGAGAGTACTGACACATATAATGTGCCTAATATAACAAAAAATTATGATCTTTCATGTCTTTATTGAAGACATTCAACATTCAAAACAGTAGTGGAAAAAGTAAGTGAACCCCTGGAATTAATAACTGGTTGACCCCCCCCTGGCAGCAATAACCTCAACCAGGCACTTCCTGTAGCTGCTGATTAGACCTGCACATCATTCAGGAGGAATTTTAGCCCATTCTTCCTGCAGAACTGCTTTAGCTCCGTCATATCTTTGGACTACGCCCATGTGTGGCTCTCTTCAAGTCATTCCATAGCATCTCTATTGGGATGAGGTCTGGGCTCTGACGTGGCCGCTCCAAAAGGTGGATTTTGTTTTTCTGAAGCCGTTCTGTTGTGGACTTGCTTCAGTGTTTTGGGTCATTGTCCTGTTGCGTCACCCAACTTCTACGGTGTTTCAGCTGATGTACAGACATTCTCATATTATCCTGAAGAATTTTTTGATACACCTGATACTGTAGACTCATGAACATCGATGTTATCCAGGTCCAATGATGCCTTCAAATCTTTGGCTGTCACTCAGGGTTGTTTCTTTACCTCAGTGATGAGTCTTCGTTGTGCTCTTGGAGTCATTTTGACTGGGCGCCCACTTCTTGGTAGAGTAGCCACAGGGCCTCTTGTGTGGAGCAAACTCAAAAGGTTTGAGTGGTTTTTATCAAAGTAGCTCTAGTCCACACCGCCAAACTCATTTTCTTAACAAGACCCCAGGTATACTAACACCTGACTCCATTTAAGGGTTCACTTACTTTTTCCACTAGCACTATGAGGTTTTTATGGTTGTTCTCAATAAAGACATGAAAGATCAGAATTTATTTTGTGTTATTTTAGGCTCATGATATTTGTCAGTACTCTTGACTTAGATGAAGATCAGATCACATTTTATGACAAAATGCAGAAAACCATGAAATTCCAAAAGGTTCACATTCTTTTTCTTGCCACTGTATTTAGTGTGTTTGCTCAATAATGACTGACTATATGAACCCATTATGAAAATAGCTGCTAATTAATCAACAGAGCAGACGTTTACCTGCCTGATATGAATGTGATTAGTGGCCCAAACAGTAGAAACATGTTAGCACTGTTATTGCTCCTTCTGTTTGTTCACTGCTGGTGTATACGTGTGTGTGATTCAGGGGACTCTTACCTGTAAAACCAGCTGCTCGTTTTCTGCGTCTTTGCTGTAGATGAAAAGGTTAGCCATCAGCAACATGTTTACTGTGGAAACTGCAGCAAAACTAGAACCACATACAGTCACTTTCTTCTCTCCTCGTTTGTACTGCCATTATAGAATCGCTCTAAACATTTATTACGCCCATCAGAAATGAGACCTTAGGGCCCAGTGCAGTTTGTTTCAACAGAAACGTAACAAGAACGCACCTTTCAGCTTAAGATGTCAAAACTCTGCAGACTGATGTGGTAAAGCCCCTGGTCGTCCAAGCATCGTCCAACGCCTCGAGCTCACAACCCTGAGAGGATAAGAAAGACAAATCAGTTTTCTGCAGCGAATGTGGTGAAAACTGAGGAGACCTTGCAGGCTTTGTGCGTGTAGATGCAGTGCAGAGGGAAGAACAAACAGCAGATCCCGATTCTTCCTTTTCTTCTCACTTTAGTTTCCAATGTTCCAAAGGTCACAACTGTCAGCAGCTCAACTACTTTCCCATATGGAACTGGCGTGTGGCGACGATCCTGAGCCACAGTCATCTGTTTGGTTCAGACATCAGACAACACACCGCCCTGGGTCTTTACAAAAGTATAACATTCGACTCCATCAGAAATAACAATCCAAACACGATCCTAGACACACAGCAGCCAACAGTGGTTCTCACCATCTGTCATTTCACAGTAAGCCTGCTTCGTTAATGCTCCTCACACTCGACAAGTCACACTTGGATTATTTCATCTTGGAGGCTTCATTACTCTCAATAAGCCAAAGACCCAGTTCCTGCCTCCTCTCAACACTTCTTTACTTTGGGCCCTGGACCAAGTTGGTGCTGTAACATACAGGGCTACAGCCAGTGGTTATGGTGTCAGTTACTTGATTTTTCTTTATAACGTGTCAGAAAAGAGTGAAAATCCTAGTTTAACTGAACACGAGTGATGAGCCGACATGTCTTTGGTATTTTAAAGATGCTTTTTTCTGTCAATCAACTGTTTGATTCAAGTACGAGTCCAGGGAAATTATTGGCTTTTGTTTTTTTAGCTAAAATGTTATGTATCTGGCAAAACAAGAGATTTGGGTCTCTGGATGTCAAACTTAAGTTCAGCGGTTAAATATGAAGTCCAACATGCAAAGATGCCAAGTTTCATGTCTAAGCCAGTCAGTTGTTCGCACTTCTGCTGAATCGTCACTCCGTCAAGTTGATCGATCAGCAAAGTAGTTGATTAATTTCATCAACTAATAGTTTTAGCTGTCAGCCTTGATACACATCATCTACTTTGGCAGAATTTATCAAGTTATTGATATATTTTATTACCTGAAAGGTTTGAAACCTAAGATGTGATGGGGGATTTAAAAGAATGAACTATTGTAGCTGTAAAATGCTCCTGAGCTCCAACCTGACCTGGGACCAGACTGGGGTTAGCTGATGGTGTACATCAAATACTAATGTGAACACAAGTGGTATTTTCAGTTTTTAAAGTCACACACTGATTCTCAGCAGTTAAGGAATAAGGGGCCAAGGGGGTGGCACCAGCCAACCTCCAATAAGAACGCCTGTGAAACTATTGAGCCAAATCAGACTGATTTATCCCTGAGAAGAGATCGCGTCACAACATGCCTGCACTTAAAAACCGACTATCCACACAAAGACAAACTATAGTGCAACAATACTAAACTGCAACTACAACAAAATCAGTACCTACATTTTCAGCCATTACCAAACCCCGAAGTTAATTCTGCTGGAACATCCCTATGATGTGCTACTGGTCTAAACTGGTTCTCCTGTTTCCCACCAGGTCCACCAGGACAGAGCAGAACAGGACCTCCAGGCCCTCCAGGCTCCACTGGGGCCCGCGGCCCCCCTGGACGTCCAGGCTACGCTGGAGTCCGTGGGCCTCCTGGGCCTCCTGGATACTGCGACTCTTCTCAGTGTGTCGGTATCCCTTACAACGGGCAAGGATACGCAGGTACGTAGTGAGAACGGGGACTTAGCTGGACCTCACAAGCATAACACAAACTGTACATAAAGATGGATGATGCATCACCATTTGCTGCTACTAAATGAATTCAAAATTCATTGAATTTTGCGGGAGGGGGGAGTTTATGGCCTTTACTGTAGCCCGCCATGTCCATCTTCATATACAGTCTGTGGTGTTGCCTATCAGTGTCAGTGATTCCTGTCAACCGGTGGATGAAAGTGCAAACAGAGATGAACAGGAACAGTTCAACATTTTGGGAGATACACGTTTCACATCTTCCCCAGAGTCAAAAAAAAATTGTGATTATCGCAGCTTAGCTCAAATCCTGGCCGCGCCTTCAAACCAGGAAATGTGAACCTTCTAACAGCTCCGAGGCTGACCGACATGTTGTAGCTAGTCTGAGTCCTCCACGAGCTGCAGCAGGCAGCCACTGTAGGGCTAGGTATCACATGTTGCTACCAATTCATAAGCAAAGTGATCAAGCACTCTCCGATTTAGAGGATAACGCCAGTGACTTTCCCTGTTTTTGTTTTTCCCCACAAATCAAAACTGACTGAATAGAAACGTCAGCTGTGATGTGAAGGTGGCCTAATCATCTTTTCTCACCAGACTCTGGGTCAGACAGTTGACACGTGTATTTCTCCTAATCTAAGAGGACTGGTGCACGTCTAGACTCAGTCTTGTAACTGGTAGTCACTAATCATTAGAAGAACTTTAAAGTTGTGTATTCTCTGTCTTCTACCTGACACTGTCCCTCCTATCTGGCCTGTTTCAGGTTCACCATAGTATACTTTCACGTGCCTGTGCTGCTTTCACTGACTTCCAGAAAAACACAAAACTCAACTGAAACACTTGCTCACATGCTCTAGAGCTGTTTACAGGATAGCAGCCAAGGGAAACCATTAACACAAACTGTGCTGACAAACAACAACAACAAAGAGGGACCCAGTACTAACATCAACTTACAGCCAGTAGAACAAACCACCACCTGCAGCAGCGGCGGTGATGGCACCAACTTTGTGTTCAGTGGAGGAGCATGCACCAAACAACAAACAACCCAAACATACTAACAAAGGCGGAAACGAGTGCATCTACCACAGCAGCAACAACTCTGTTAACAGCATCTGTCTCAAGGTGACATGTAAACAAACTAATTTGTGCCTTGTAAATGATGTTTGAATCAAGTCCATGTAGTTTTAACATCTGTAGTTTTAAAGCTTGTGCCTTGCAAACAACAACCAACCTGCTGCTTGCTGAATGCAAACACCACCTCTTATTGTTCCTTTCCTGCTCAGGGCCAAAGTGAATCACTCCTGCACATGTGACCCTGCAGGTTGGGATTTGACACTTATACAAAAACCCAAAGTCTAACTTTTCCTGTGTTTGGTTTTATTTGACTTTCCTCCCCAAACCAGCGACACTGTACCTGGAGGTTATAAAATACTAACAATACAATCCCAAACAAGTTTCTCCAGGCTGGTGGTAGAAGAACTTGATTTTTATGTCACAATGTTTTATTTTGTAAATGAATGAGAGATTAAGTCACCTGCCTGTAGTCAAACCCTGAACTGCTAATGAGAAAAGAAAAGATGAATGCACAGCAGTGTTTACCAGGGGTGTGTCCAGGGGGGTCTGAGGGGACCCACCACCTAACAAGATTCTGGCCAGAAGAAACTCCATCAAAAGGTCCAACTTTAAAGCCAGGTTTGAAAGAACTGTTTAATTAATTGTTTGTTTTTAAAAAATTAATAAAAATTCAGTTGCTATTGTCAAACTTTCAAGCACCACACAATCTTCATCAGCACATGGAGATTCCCTGGTTTTCACAGAACTGAAAAATTCACTTTTTTTTTCCTGAGCCCTTTCAAAATGACTCCGTTAGTCAACACGTACAATTCTGTAACAACTAGTCCAGCTCCATGTGCTGATGAAGATCATGTGTGACCGTGGTGACTCATTAAAAACAGAGAATCAGAGCCAAAACAGGGTTCAAGCTCATTTGCTACAGCTCTGCCCTGGTGATGTTGAACTGGTAAAAGTGACATTCATCCACAGATAAAAGTGGAAAGCATGCCAACAAAATGTTGTCAACAAAAGAGCAGGACACACAAATAGGTCTTTAACGTCTTCCTAACACAACAACACATCTTACGGTCTTACTGATCACAAACTGGATCCCAGAGGGAACCAGCTCCTATGAACATTTACCTAAATAAACCGGTCATAGAAAAACTTTTCATATCATGGGGAAAAGATGTGGCAACCAGGCAGCGCCAGCAACAAATCCCATTTGAAGTGAACGGAGCATAAAATCACACTTTCCCTCATCGAATCCAAGTGCTGGTTAACGTGCGTGACAGTGGCATCATAAAACAGTACAGTGCAGAAGCAGTTACGATAATCAAGGACCAGAGCATAACTTAACCATACAAGGCTATGTCTGTTTTTGTTGTGTTTGTTGGCAGAACAAATCATGTAAAAAGATTGTGTCTAGAAAATAATGACTTCCGTGTGGCCTACAAATCAAGTGAAGTTACTCCTAATGATTTTTTCATTATCTGCTGATTATATTGCAATTTATCAATTAGTCATTTGGTCTAAAAGTAGGAGTAGGAACAAATCCATGGAATGTTTGGTGTTTCTGTGCTAATTAAACGACCAGATTGATTAGCAGAGCTGCTGCAGGTCTGTTTATCAAACGAGAAAACTTAGCAGAATCCCCCCCCCCATTAATAAAAATTCAGTTGCTATTGTCAAACTTTCAAGCACCACACAATCTTCATCAGCACATGGAGATTCCCTGGTTTTCACAGAACTGAAAAATTCACTTTTTTTTTCCTGAGCCCTTTCAAAATGACTCCGTTAGTCAACACGTACAATTCTGTAACAACTAGTCCAGCTCCATGTGCTGATGAAGATCATGTGTGACCGTGGTGACTCATTAAAAACAGAGAATCAGAGCCAAAACAGGGTTCAAGCTCATTTGCTACAGCTCTGCCCTGGTGATGTTGAACTGGTAAAAGTGACATTCATCCACAGATAAAAGTGGAAAGCATGCCAACAAAATGTTGTCAACAAAAGAGCAGGACACACAAATAGGTCTTTAACGTCTTCCTAACACAACAACACATCTTACGGTCTTACTGATCACAAACTGGATCCCAGAGGGAACCAGCTCCTATGAACATTTACCTAAATAAACCGGTCATAGAAAAACTTTTCATATCATGGGGAAAAGATGTGGCAACCAGGCAGCGCCAGCAACAAATCCCATTTGAAGTGAACGGAGCATAAAATCACACTTTCCCTCATCGAATCCAAGTGCTGGTTAACGTGCGTGACAGTGGCATCATAAAACAGTACAGTGCAGAAGCAGTTACGATAATCAAGGACCAGAGCATAACTTAACCATACAAGGCTATGTCTGTTTTTGTTGTGTTTGTTGGCAGAACAAATCATGTAAAAAGATTGTGTCTAGAAAATAATGACTTCCGTGTGGCCTACAAATCAAGTGAAGTTACTCCTAATGATTTTTTCATTATCTGCTGATTATATTGCAATTTATCAATTAGTCATTTGGTCTAAAAGTAGGAGTAGGAACAAATCCATGGAATGTTTGGTGTTTCTGTGCTAATTAAACGACCAGATTGATTAGCAGAGCTGCTGCAGGTCTGTTTATCAAACGAGAAAACTTAGCAGAATCCAATCGCTAGATTCTGTGGACACACCCCTGATAGTTAGCATCTGTAGCAGGTAGAAAAACTACATTACAACCAGGACTTTGTGTGCATGCTGACACAAACTGAGGAAAAAAAACACTCATGATCAACTGGCCCAAACACTATCTCCGAGCAGGCCAATTCCCTCCTGAACCCGACACCCCAGTAGTCCCAGTCCCAGAGGAGGAAGAGGTGCCAGAAAACCAGCGTCGAAAGAGATCACTATCAAGAAAGGCACCCAACAGGCAAACATCCTAAGACAAGCCAATTTCTTTTGCTTTGTCCTTGTTCACCCTGTGTTTATTCTTGGAATCATGTACAAACAATAAGAGAAAGGAAAATGGGGTTTGACACCCCAGCTTTATTGGACGATACCTTTAAATGCCTTAAAATGTTTGTGAATATTCATTTTTGTGGCAGGTGATGGGTTCGGACAGAGGGAAGGAGTTTTGGGCCAACATTAAGGGTTTTCCTCCACTTTTCTTTTGCTTGTAACATATTTGCATCAAGTGTTGACAGAGCTAGCGATGGTCACAGAATCACAGACTGGTTCGTCCAGTACATTACATATAACCCTGCTCATCCAGTCTCGTCTCAGTGCAGGTTTGGTTTCATTACTGCAGTTAGACACAGCTTTCATTGTGTATCTCTAGACTTGATATTTATCAGTTTGCTTTTATTTCCTCACAGCTAATTTTACCAAAGGTGGAATTGCATGTCTGTGGTGTATATTTAGTACACGTTCATTTGTTCCATTTTATTTTGTTTTAACCAGAATACGGTTGTCATTCTCTCAGTATCGGATGCAGTTGAAACCTGCGTGCAAGACTGTGGAAATGGTGTTGCTGCTTCATGTTTGAACTGCAGATTGTGAATTCCACAGCCTTATTTTCTTATTTATTTCTGAAACAGAAGAGGCATTTTTCAATAAAACTACTGAAAATTTCACATCTCTCTAGTTTTTTGTGTCTCAGTTCATCATAAGAACAAATACAGAGAGGTTCTTTTTTAACAATAAGCCTGACTGGACTGACCAGATGGGCACCTGGGTGGGGAGGGTGGGGGGACTTAGACTTAAAAGGGGCACTTGGGGTGACTAGATGGGCATCGTGATCGAGTGCAGGGGTGCTCGGGCAGTTGAAAACACCCGGGCCCGGTTCAGACCACACAGTTTAAGCCCGATAACAGCCCAACACAACAGGCGTCAGACACAACAATCAATCATTTTATATGTATAGTGTGTCATAGTAAACAACAACCGATGCTGCGTCTGGGAC